AAATTTCAGTAAAAATTTCACCAAAAATTATTTATTTCGCGAAATTTATTATATCACACTGCAGTAAGTAATCAGATTACTTTAATTATATTAACAACCATAGACAAAGTGTTCTACGATAATTAATATTCGTACACGATTATTCAAACCTTTATTTATTTGGTGTTTGAAAATAACTCACATTTTTTCTCATATACCAATTATAGAATTAGCGTATCTACCGGATATTAAAATTTTTCAATTTTGCTTTTCGAGAAAATTACTTAATCCCCGTTTTATTCTCCACTAATCCTTCTAATACGGAAATACGAGCGCGCTTGACTTAATTTAGAGTACGATACATTATATTCCTATGTAGATGTAGGTGTAGAAGGAATATAGGCGAAGGAATATCAGCGACATACATAATTATATTAATTATAATGATTTATCGCGCGCGTTATTAAATTCTATTCAAGAAACGAGGTTTAATATTAACGCAATGAGAGGCTGTACATCACTGACATACCTGAATCCTCGGAATTCGCTATCAATCTTCTTCCAACGCGAACATTCCCGCACAATAATGGCCTTCACGTTGAATTTCCAATTTTCAATCATATCTTTAAATCTATAAGTTTTTTAATCTATATATTTGTATACTGTATGTTTTTTTAAATCTTTAATTTTGTAGCAAATTTATGATATCAAATATTTTGATGTATTGAATGGATGAACTTATGCAAGATGCACTTATCAATTTAAGTAATTTTTTAAGTATTTTACATAAATTTTTATATTCATATTCTTTTCTCTCTCTCTCTCTCTCTCTTTTCTATAACATACATATTTTTAATTACTCATGTGATCTAAACTTTACATTTATATTTATTTATAATTAAATATCTGTTAATAATTTATAATTATATCCTTCCACGACATATTAATGGCATTGTAAACTCTGAACAAATTCAATTAAAGCGAATTAATATCCTTTCCTTTACATTTTGGCGCATACTCCCACGGCGTTTCCGGTTCCGGCCGGAACTTTATCTCGCCTGCTGGACCTTATCTCATCTGCCAGCATCTTGGACTGCGGTAATAGAACCCGTAAACGTGTCTGACTTAATGCAGGAGAGCAATATATCTCGAGGCTGCAAGGCACATGCGAAATGCACTATTGCTCTACTGGTGGCCGGAACCGGAAGCGCCGTGGGAGTATGCGCCAAAATGTACACCGTATAAAGAGCAATGTATAAAGGTTACTACAGAATTTCGCATGTAAAACCACCTGATAAATATTTAAAGATATGATAATTTTTAAATAAAAGAGAGAGAAAAATAAAGAGTGAGATATGCGAAATTTATTATACAGTCTCCTGTATAAATAATCTCATATTTAGTGATTTATACAATTGTTGTCTCTTTCTCACTTTCTCGCTCCGCGCAATATATATTCCTTGTTTCTAGTATTCGCCCCGGAATAATAAAGCGATTTCCCCTTCTCTTATTCCTTTATTGCCCCCGTTCCCTTTTATCCTCTTCGATTTTCGCGGAACACCGTGTGTTGATGTTGTTCGAAATCGAGAACTAAGGAAAGCGACCAAGCGAAAGCTTTCGCAGGCCGAATTTATTTTTCTCCCCTCTTGAATAGAGTAACAATAAAGCCGTGAGATTACGACGGAGATTTATCTCCGTCACGCGTTATGACAGAATGGGATCTCTCCGTCTCTTTTTCCCCCTAACTATTATATATTGCGTTTACTCTGTCGACAAAAATGTTATTATTAATATTCTATCTTGTCAAATCGAACATAATGCAGAGTTATTTCGATACTTAATATCGACAAATATCGTCAATATTGGCAATTCTCTGCGACTGATCGTGTACCAGCGATAACAAATTGATAGCTGTTGTATTTAATGATTAAATCAATATTGGAAAAGAATGAAACCTCGATCAAACTAATTAATTTTTGCAGTCAATTATATAATTTCATTTATTTTCCATACATATTTTGATAAATTTATTTATAATTTTAATTTTATAATTTTAATCAATTTTTTATTGAGTAAATTTATGCAATTTTAATGTAATTTTATATTGCAATATAATATATATATATATATATATATATTTATTTATTTATTTAAATTAATTTTATTAAATTAATTTGATTAAATTAATTTTATATATAAAATATATTTTATTAAATTAATATTATACATAATTTAATAAAATATATTTTATTAAATTATTATTATTATATACAATTTTAAATGTATTTCAAGTGTAAAAATGAAAAAAATTTACGCTAGTTTCGTGAGCAAATCTATCTTTATGTACTGACAGGAGACAAGGCCGCACAATTAGGAGGTTGTGCGCGTGTTGCAGGGATGGTACCCCATCTCGTAACATGTAACGTATCCGTTCATACACGCTCTTTCGGGATGCGGTGTTTTTTTCCCTCCGCCTTTTGCATGTACACAACGCAGATATACTACTCGCGCTACTAGGGTCGTTCCCGACGTTAAACGAGTCTCATCCCGTTCGCGGTCGCGAAATTTAGCATCTAGTAGAAAAACCACCGACTCGACTTTAGCAACTTCTCTTTTTGCGTTCACACACAAAATCGCCAATATTTTCAGCTTTTTAGCCGTCTTTTTTATACAATTTATGTAGCTGTCACTTATCAATAAAATTTAAATGCCACTTGAAGAAAATTTGTCAAATAATTAAAAATATTTTATAAATATTGCTTGCATGTTATTTTTTTAATGATTATAATAATTAAAAACATTAAAAATAATAATTTAGATATGCAGATTTTCATTTATCAAAAATAGAGAAAATGTCTCGAAATTATTTGTTACTAAATTATGATATGTTTGAATTAATTATTTAAATTATAAAATAGAGGTTATAAGAAAAAGTTTTTTTGTACCACGTATATTCATATTGTATTCAATCGCAATTTTCTTTACTTTGATAGAAAGATCAAACATGAGACAGAGATGAATATCCTACCATAATATTCCGCTACTTCTCATAGAATTCAACGAACGTGAAGCTGAGTATTGATTTGAACCATCACGATGAATAATATAACTTGAAAATATTTCCACGTTTCTATTACGTTTTTAGAACGAAATGCATTCCGCAAAAACCAAGAATCAAAGGGCAAGGATTTTGCAATGACAACCGCAACGCGATGAATAATATTTGACCTAAAAAGATCCTCGTTTTCGCTGGGTTTTTTCGCGAAAAAACATTTTCTCTCGCTATCTCTAATTATGACGATGACGAAAAGTGTATTTGTGGGTTCAATAAATCCTTCTTTCATTCAGAGATGAAGAAATAAATACTCGCTTCGTTGTTGAATGAATCTTAGAAATTCTTCTTGTTCGCTTCTTTCAAAACGTATGATACACGTTTTTCATCTTCGCCAAAAAGAATGCAATGAAATTTATTTTCAATAATATCTGATCTTTTTGCGATTGATGATTCGCACGTAATTCCCATTTCCTAAAATTCTTTTTTATTCATTGTAATTATATTTAATTATTAATCCCTAGCGTCGCAAAATGCTTAAGAAAATTTATAAAGAATATTTGCTAAGTATCTCTGAGAAGAAACTGTTACACAAAATGTTTTAGAAAACTTTTATCGTATAAAACATTATACATATATTACAATATCATATTTTTTATAAAACTTCAAAAAATTTTCCACCTCGAAAAAGGATTAAAGAACTGATGATAAAAAAATTTTAGCATTAAAATTTAAGAATAAATATTATATATTTTTTTAGAACATCTGGTGTATTTTATATGTAAAAGGCAAAATTTATTTCGTTATGTTATTAAAGACAAATGGAATTACAACGATTAAATTCGCCAGATAATGTATGTAATTAACAAAATTTATATAGATCTATATTTTCATTTTTAACTGAGACTAATTGCAAATTTTAATTAATCCGTCTCAATAATAGGAACGATTATGAAACAGCGCAACATAGATATAGAATGATCAATGATAATCTGTTAATCTTATCAAAACCATTAAACGCAATTTATCGCTAATTGAACGAGCATTGCAACAAATGACCGAACGATATTGTGTGCTATATTCAAATCCACGAATAAATGGGGAATACTTTTAGCGCGTATTCTGTCGTCAGCGATAACGAAAAGTCCACCGTCACCGATATACAATTAAAACTTGGAAACAGGAATGTTGCTAATTTTCACTTTGAGTTTCCACGCGACATTACCTTTCTTGCTGCTTATTTTCTCGATATAATCTCTTCGGAGGATCCGCGGAATGCTTTCTCTTCCGTTTGTCGGATGTCGCGGTTCACCGGAAGAATTCGAGTGGCAATGTTAGGCATCTCCTATGAGAAAGTCTGACGTCCCGAATTTTCCCGGTGAAATCAGACAAAGGAAGAGCGAAGAGGGATCCTGAATTCTTTCGCGTCTTCGCGACGATGCCGGAGCTTAATTAAAGAGGATTTAAGAGCGAAACATGAGACGAAGGAACTACAAAAGCTTTTCCCGGAAGACTCCTCGCGAAATCTTCTCTTACCGCAAGCGAAAAGCATACTGAAATTCACACCTCGGCGAATTCGAAACGATTCTCGATTTCTTGTGCTTATGTTGAAGAATACAAGGAGAAATACAAATATTTTATCGGCAAATTTTAAACGCAATTTTAAATAAAAAATCTTATAATGGTAGACCTATTTCCTCATATTTCGATTGAATCAGATCTGATATGACATTTTTCGTTTAAAATTATCTTTTTGAATTATCGGATTTATAATGCATTTAAATCGTGTTATTGTGCTTCATATTGAAATTTAAAAGTTTATGTAGCAAGTGTAATAATAATGGTCTATGTAATTTTCTCATATGTAATTTTTGGAATTTTTGCGAAAAGCGATTTTTATGTAAAAATACGAAAGAATATATTATGTCGCAATAAATATGTAAATGTAGAAAAGGAAACAAAAAGATACCTGTACTCCTCCAGCTCCCACGATGAATAAAAGCTGAACCATGAAGAGAGCTGCCAGAAGATTCATTAGAGTTGTGCCTGCTAGGCTCCTCAAGTCGGAGAAGAGGCTGCAACATAAATTCATCAAACTAATTAGTACAAAAAATTTAAGACAAAAATAGTTTTCATACAAAGCTTGTAATTAAAAGATGATTCGTGTTTCAATTTGGATTACAAAGTGATTACTTATTACATTTGAAAAATAGGCTAAGAATAACTGAAAAAAGAACTTGACTTATATAGGATATCGAATCCATTTATGGGAGTTCAATAATAGAAGGTCGTAAATAATCATACGGTTATCCGAGAGCGCACTGTATTATTCTCGCTAGAATGATAACGTAATATAAAGACTGGTCGGAGATGTGAAAGCGTAATACATTATGTTCATGGAAGAAATATCGCGGTATCACACAAGTGAAATGTTCGCCAACGAACTGTATAAGAGTTCGCGCTGAGGCATAAATTTAATAATCGCAAATCTTTTACCAGCGAAATGATACCGAAAGATTACATTCATCCTCGCATATCAATCCAAAGAAAACTCGCAATTTTATCTCGAAAAATTACGACATTTCTGAAATGACGAGGTATGAAAAATTTGTATTTCAAGTTTATATACTCTTTTCAAATCTCCAGCGATGCAATAATAATAACAATAATAATGAATTAAGAGAGAGAAAGTATATTCGCGTTAAATATAAATTATCGAAAAAATAAGAAAAATTGCATTTAGAAACAATTGCAGAAAAATATCATAGTGTATACAATATCGTTCTGTCGAATTTATATTTTTTTGTAATTATAGTGAAATAGTGTCATATTTATAATTCAATCTCATCTATCTCAGTGCGTCAAGAAATCCGTTCTAATTAATACAAAAGTTGAAGCCATGTCGCTTCCTTATTTATTGAAATCGGAGCGCAAGCGACGGAAACTATGGATGCTCTTAAATTATGGATTTGCCCCGCTTTCCGGTTGCTTACAATTAAGCATCGCGAACCGTTCGTGCAATCGTCCTCGTGAATATATAAATTCGCCCGTTCTGTGAATAATTCATAAATCGTCGCCAAGCGGCTTCTCCCAGCGTGGGATGGCCGCCCTCCACACCATTGGTGAAGATGAAGGGACGAATGTTACAGGAAAGTTATGAACAAAAGAGTTATTATTTCGTTTCCATCTCAAAAATGAGGCAAAGGTGAAGCATCCCGGTCAAAGAACAGCGAAAAAATGTGATTAATAATGAAACGGAATAAAGGCAAAGATAGTGGGATTAAATTTGAATCCGAGGAATTAGATGATCCGATTATGCTTAAAAAATCGCCATAAGAATCATCGATCAAATGCACGCGATTTCTATCTAAATCGTGACTATCCAATATCTCGGAAAATATTTAAAAAGGAAAAATATACATTTCAAGAGGAACAGTTGTAAATTTCTTGAAAAAAACATTTAAAAAGAATTGCAATTATTTTACTATAATATTAATTCAAGTTTGTTATAAATGCGTGATTTAGAATTTTGTATATTATGTATCGATATTCCACTTTGATTTGAAAGCTCCATTACACACTAATGATTTAGTGAAAATTGTGCAATTACGCGACTGATTGCGTCATTATCATATCTTATGAAATTTTTAATCATAAATCCAATCGAGAGCGAGTGCAATAAATTAATATTAATTGCTTCTATAACAAACGCTTGATTAACACTTTTATCGAGAATGAATTTGCATATAAATTATCAGCTAACGAGGATTAATCAATTCTAGTATGTATTGTATATCTGTACATATAACATTTTATAATATATATAAATTATATGTGCATACATATAACACATACACTGTTACATTGGGAAAAAGCGTATAATTCAGTTAGTATCCGTTCATTTTGGAAACAACGATAAGCATAAATTCACATTAATATTATTAGAAATGTACAGATTTCACGAATTTGTTTGATTTATTTCCCTTTTGCATCGAATCGATATTTCGCTTATGCAGAGGAAACATCGGTATACCTTTTTCTAGGTCATCCGATAAAAGCGGAAGGCATAAAACCACATTGTGTACGAACACACACACACATATATGTGTGTGTGTGTATATACTTGATATATCATAATGAAAAAAATAACCTCTCCGTGCGATATCCATCCTTTCTTTATTAAAATTTTTCAACCGAGAGAAATCCGTAGAATTCACATTGAAATCGCAGTCTTTGAATCTATCGCATTCGCGACTTCTTATCGTAATTGCTCGCTCGTATTTTTGCGTAACATTTATACGTATACACAAGTTAGTAATGGTAAATAAAAGAACATAGAAAAATATGAGTACTAATAATTAATAAATAAATAAAATAATTAGTAAAAACAAACTTTAAGAAAAATAGTTACAGATTAAAAAAACTAATATATTAAAAAATATAATATATATATATTTTATAAATTATAAATATATATATATATATATGTTAAATTAAGGAAATAATGTATGGCAGGAATAATACTAATTATAATATAATATTAATTAAATTCGATAAAATTCATGCTCTCTCAAAATGTTTGTTAAAATTAGAGACAGGAGGATTAACATGATTAGTAATTACTAATCATGTTGTATATTACATCTAGTATTATCATTATGCTTAACATTTAATAATGTGGATCATATTCATGATATTGCAAATATATGTATAGGACTCGAGGCGATTTTGACCGAAACGGCAATGAAAAGAGTAATGATCCGTTTCCCCGACCTTTACGAAGGTAGGTGCTTCTTTTTTCTTTGCGTCCGGCATTGAAAGTTTTATCGTTTTTATGAATTATTCACGAGGATGGACCCGGAACGAGATCGCGCGTAGAATTCTCTATAGAGAAAGGCGAAACCCATCTCTCTGCGAATTTGCCCAGACCTCATAACCGCCCCTTTTTTTCTTTAACGAGAGTCATCTTAGCAAATTCGATTATCTCATAGCGGGCTTCTTTGAAGTTTACATAATTATCTGACGAGCTTCGTCGTCTGTTTATCTCACCCCCTATCAATTGCAAATTTAATTCCAAAGTTTATAAGAAATTACGTTCCGAGATAAAATGTTATTTGGATTATCAACACTTGCGAGAGGTAACGAAATCAATCTCCGAGGGATTATTTCAATTTAATTTTTAATGCGATTTAATTTTAAATAAAATAAGTGTAGATGTTAAATAAATAATTATTAATTATTAATTATTAAATTAAGTAATTATTAATTTTTGCTTTTATTAATGTATAAATAATTTCATGTGAATAATAATAACGTGCGAAAAATAAAATATTAGTATAAAATTTAACTATCTAATTTTTTTTTATTGGATGGATGTATTTTTCAATTTTCTTATCTGTGTAAATTTAAAAAGGTATAAATTACATTAATATTTTTAGTCTCAAAGCTCAATGTTTAAGGAATATTTTGGGGTATCTATCGAGCTGTATCTTGAAAGTTACGCAATAAACGAACTCTCTACTGGTTGATATCTTGAAGGACGACGGTATCATTAAGGGCGTAGTCGCTGATAAGCAGTGACGCCACGTCGCGATTTATCAAGGCTCTGACAGGCACGATCGGAACCTATGGAGATTTCGCGTCTTTCGTTAAATCTGACGACGCCGTATACGAGCTTTTAATCTTAATTGCGTTTAACTCTCAACTTTTAATCCATATTGTGCGATATGATTATAACTCGCAGATAAATGTCTTGACAACTAAATCGAGTTTCAAACTTTACTCGAGTCGAATTCCTGTTATGATAAGATCTTTTTTCAATTATCCCGATGTCGTTTATTTTTTACCTGTACACCCGTAAAATTCGATTAATCTGTATATAATCTAATTTTTCCCTTTAGAATATTATATTTATCTCTTATTATTACATTTCTTCATCACAGCGGCAACATCAGCTTCGAGAAACTAAGTCGGACTTATACGAGTTACCAGGCAACTTTGCGTCCGAAATTTCTCGTGCTGTTCTCGAAGGGAGAGCACGACCTCTCGAAGGTTATATCGCGGATCTCGACTTGCGTGAAACTTTCTTCTCTCTGTCTGGCATTTTTCCTGCGGTTAATTATATATATTTACTCGCCTCGGGTTTGATGTACAAGCGAGGATACTTAAGTCAAAGTTACTAATTCGATAAAAGTGCCATAACAAATATTTGTCTGCGATATAATTTCGACAAATTTATTAGCGGGTTATTTGTCATGACTCTCTCTTCGCTTATAATTTACATGTGATAATTTTAAGAATCAAGAAATATTTTTACAATCCGAAAATACGTGAATATTTCCCGCAAACTTTTATCTTGTCAACAACTCTATCAAATAGCGGCCGAAGCTAAAAGTTAACGAGGCAGCTATCGGAAGTATTATCGGATATCGATAGCAAGAGTCACTGTATAATCACATATTCAAGATAGTTCTATCAGATTTTCGATAAAGAGTACTGCCAGCGGAATTCGAGAGATCGTCAGCTTGAGGTTGCGTTTAAATCGAAATGCCAGTTTGTCGATAGAAATTGTCTGTACGTCAAACTAGACGAGCGGAATAGACGAGGGTGATGTAGAATGAAGAGAACTTCGAAAAATTTTGGACAACCAAATACAGTTTCTCACATCTATTATATATTTTTTTATTTTATAATATTCGTTAATATTTATGTATTTAAATTATTATAATGAAAAAAGGTCCGTTAGATAAAATCACTAAAAATAGTTAAAAGGCTTCAAGGACCAACGCAAAGGTGAAATTTATGCAAAAATCGAACGGCTGTTTCAATTTAACAAACCATATGAAAATGTTTATTTAATTTAAACACGACAACTTGTCGTTGTTAAATTGAAACAACCGTTCGATTTTTGCATAAATTCATCTTTGCGTTGGTCCTTGAAGCCTTTTAACTATTTTTAGTGATTTATGTATTTACTTTATGTAAGAAAATGATTATGATAGAAAAAGAAAGAAAGAAAGATAATAAAACAAATATTATAAAATATATGTTCATATATAAAGTATCACATAAAACT